AGGGTTTTGACGGTTTAGGGTTTAGGGTTCAGGGTTTAGGGTTGACGGTTTAGGGTTTAGACCTTCTGAAATCCCGTAAGGCATATACCTTGAGTTATAGTAGGACCCCTAATATGTATTAAAATATGTTCCTGAATTAAGGGATTTTGGAAGGTCCGGGATATGAGGGTTCCAACAATGTTCTGGAAAAGCTCTTTATGGTTCCTTCTGACGGGGTTTTCTCCGGGTTACTAGGAGGGTTACCATAAGGGTTCCAAAAGGGATAACATAAGAGTCACAATAAGCCATGCTATAGAGGGTACTGTCAGGGATGCTGCAAGTCCATAGGCCACAAAACCCAGGACCCGTATAGAACTCCCAAAGGAACCCGTACACAAACCCTTACCGGGGCTAGTAAATCCTCAACCCCAGCCCCGGCACATCTAAGCCCCGAGCCAAGAACCTCGGATGCTGTCTTGAGCATCTCGACCTCAGCTTCATACATGCATCAAGGGAGGAAGTAATGTAGGCGCCTTAATACTTCGAAGAGGGTTTGGGGGTATATTATACTAGAATCATAGAAAGGAACCCCCAAAATAGTATAGGTAATTATTGAGGCCCCTATATTAGGGCTTTAGTGTGGGTGCTACAGGGACCTGTAGGCTTTCTCGAGAGGGGTTGAAGGGCTGCAGAGAGGGGTACAGGGTTGCTTTCTGAAGGATAAGGGCATTGGTAGGGTCATTTGCAGAAAAAAAGGAACCCACACTAACTTACACCTACTTTTGACATCAGTTCAGGAACTTACAACCTTGCTAAGTAAGGTCTTAAACACAAAATTTGGCGAGTAAGGTCTTAAACAAAGGGTGTCTTCAGATTGCGGTTCTTTTTTCTGGGCGGGCTTAGGGTTGAAGCTTGTTGGCTTGTGGAGCATGCTCAACGAACTAACTTGCATTAAGGGTTTGGGGTTTGGGGTTTGAGATTTCGGGGTTTGGGGTTTAGGGTTTAGGGGTTTAAGGTTTAAGGTTATTCAGCACTCTAACCCAACCCAAGACTGCCCACGCAGCACTCTCAGAGCTTTGAAGGCGCCCGCGCCGCGGCGGGGTGTTGCTGCCAGTCGGCGATGTTAGGCCATGGATATCCGGCACCAGAGCGTCCGGGACCAAGATTGTCGCGGTGCTGACCTGAGTCTCGGCTGTATGATGAGGTGTAGATGCGAAGGTTCATTGACGAGTTGCTCTTTGCTTCTTCGTCGGACTGGAGTCGCCGTCGGAGTCCTTGGTATGATGAGTCGGAGCTAGGAATTGCGCGATGTGAACCGGTAGCCAAGTGACGATGGCACGCTCGATCACCGGCGGGCTCTCCTGTACTCTCGATCACGAGGCTGTGTCACTAACTGCGGGATGCGAAGCCCATGCGGGCGTGACCATAATCGTAACCCCCCCCTGTAGACCCTAGACTATAGACTCTAGGCCCTGAACCTCTAAACCCCTCAACCCTAAACCCCTGTAGACCCCAGGCCCTAAACCCTAAACCCTCAACCCGAACCCCTAAACCCTAAACCCTAAACCCTAAACCCTGAACCCTGAACCCTGAACCCTGAACCCTGAACCCCAAACCCTAAACTCTGCTCGTCTGCGAAGCTCGGAACCTGAAACCCACTGGCTTCTGCGTGTGACCCGGGGGCTCTAAACGGTTTGGAGTTTAGGGTTTAAGGTTTAGGGTTTAGGGTTTAGGGTTTAGGGCTCTAAACGGTTTGGGGTTTAGGGTTTAGGGCTACATACCCGAATGCAGGGTTCTGCACAATTACAGTGCTACTATGTATGAAATACCCCAGAACCCTGTTGTAATTGTTGGGGGCCTTGTAGTAAGTCCTTAGAGAAAGCCTTTTCGAAAAAGGAATCCTCAAAAAGGAGCCCTGTTCTACTTACTAAGCACCCTAAAAGTAGACCCGAAACCCTAAACCCTGAGCAGACCCGAAACCCTAAACCCTAAACCCTAAGACGAGCCGAAACCCTAAACCCTAAACTCTGAGTAGACCCGAAATCCTAAACCCTAAACCCTAAGTAGACCCGAAACCCTAAATCCTAAACCCCTAAACCCTAAACCCTAAACCCTAAACCCCTAAACCCTAAGTAGACCCGAAACCTAAACCCCGAAACCCTAAACCCTAAACCCCTCTGAGGAGCCGGTCTGTGTTCAGCGGCCTGGGTCTCCGAGACACACTGGACCTCGGAAGAGTTCCAGCGCTTCGCATTTAGGGGTTTACGGTTTAGGGTTTAAGGTTTAGGGCTTAGGGTTTAGGGTTTAAGTTTTAGGGCTTAGGGCTTAGGGTTTACGGCTTTGGGTTCAGGGTCTGTGGTTTGGGGTTTAAGGGCTTAAGGTTTAGGGCTTTGGGTTTTTGGTTTAGGGTTTTGGGTTTAGGGTTTCACGTTTATGGTTTAGGGTTTTAGGGCTTCGAGTTTCGGGGTTAGGGTGTTGGTCTCTACAGGGATGGTAGGAGTTTTGCGGGTGTCTCCTGCCCAGCGGCACGTGCATGGCTAGCTTGCCTGTGGTCTGGGCACAAATTAGCTCACAGCTTGTGCTGAATTGCCCGGAGGATAAGGCAAAATGAGTAAGCAAGGTTATCACTACCCTAAGTGCGGCTATAAGAAACTATATTTACAGATGCACTAAGTCCCCTAATCCCTTGCAGGCAGCCAGGGAGCACCAGGCAACAGCTGTATGCTGTGCATGTAGCTCCTGTACTGCTCAAGTGCTTTGTACCTAAACCCTAAACCCTAAACCCTGTACACCCTGAACCCTAAACCCTAAACCCTAAACCCGAAGCCCTAAACCCTAAACCCGAAGCCTTAAACCGTAAACCCGAAGCCCTAAACCCTAAACCCGAAGCCCTAAACCCTAAACCCGAAGCCCTTAAACCGTAAACCCGAAGCCCGAAACCCTAAACCCGAAGCCCTAAACCCTAAACCCGAAGCCCTAACCCCTAAACCGAAGCCCTTAAACCCTAAACCGAAGCCCTAAACCCTAAACCCTAAACCCTAAACCCTAAACCGAAGCCCTAAACCCTAAACCCGAAGCCCTGGCTCAAACAACCTGAAACCCCAAGACCTCACAGTTGGCCCCAGGAATCGAAAACTACCCCGAAAAAGGAGCTCACAAACAAAGCGCAGGGTTTGGGGCTTAGGGTTTAGGGTTTTCGGGTTTAGTGTTTAGGGTTTAGGGTTCAGGGTTTAGGGTTTAGGGTTTAGGGCTTAGGGTTTAGGGTGCAGGGTTCAATCTCTGCGGGCTGAGGCTAAACCACGAGGGAGGCTAGCAAAGAATCTGCAGGGCTGCTGAAATGTAAACCTTCAACCCCCGAACCCCTAACCCTACTAGAACAACGAAAACCCTTACAAAGCCTTGTGGAACCCTTTTACAAAATCCTTACAAGACCCTTGTCACTTCCTATCTATCCTCGCCTGAACCCTCAAAATTCGAATCGGGCTTCTCTTGGTTCATAGTTTAAGGCTTAGGGTTTAGGGTTTAGGGTTTAGGGTTTAGGGTTTAGGGTTTAGGGTTTAGGGTTTAGGGTTTAGGGTTTAGGGTTTAGGGCTTACCCTCACCCTTCAGCCCCAGGCCTTTCCGCTGGGCATGGGACCAGCATCGGAGGCTCGTCGGGGATCGGGATCCCGTCGTCGCCTCAAGACGCGCAGGAGGGAAGGCTGGAGAGTGGAGGGCTTAGGGTTTAGGGTTTAGGGTTTAGGGTTCAGGGTTTGGGGTTTAGGGTTTGGGGTTGAGGGTTCAGGGCTTTAGGGTTTGGGGTTTAGGGGTTTGGGTTGAGGGTTTAGGGTTTTGGGGTTTTCAAGGGGCCACTAGGAGAACCAATGAGGAGCAAGTAAGCAAGTCACATGTGGACCTTGATGTCAGGTAGCCGGATTGCAATAAAAGGGTGTTTAGATGCTTTTGGCTTGGGGCTGAAGGTGTAGAAATTCGAAAAAAGACTTGGACATAGGACTTGGGATATAGTGTGTAATCTAAACCCCAAACACTAAACCCTAAACCCTAAAACTCCCAACCCTAAAACCCTAAACCCTAAAACCCTAAAACCCCAAACCCTAAAACCCTAAACCCCCAACCCTAAACCCTAAAACCCTAAACCCCAAACCCTAAACCCTAAAACCCTAAAAGCCTAAACCCTAAACTTCAAGCCCTGAAACCCGAAACTGAAACCCGCCGCGAGCCGCGACTGCGCGCGCGCGCGCGCGCGCGCGCCTCGACCGAGCCGAGTAAGGCCTGGGCCTGCCGACAGCTCTGCGCGGTTTTGTTCCGTTTCGGCTTTGAGCCTTCGGGTTTAGGGTTTAGGGTTTAGGGTTTAGGGGTTAGGGTTTAGGGGTTAGGGTTTAGGGTTTAGGGTTTAGGGTTTAGGGTTCAGGGTTCAGGGTTCAGGGTCTACTTGGAGGTTCATGGGTTGCTATAAGGAATCTATAGGGTCTAGGGTTAAGGGGTAGTTAGAAGTACTAGACCTACACCAGTGGAGCGTGTTAGGGTCTACTTGGAGGTAGTTGTAGTAGGCTTATGAGTACATGGGTAGTTATATTGTTCCTTTACGGGATCAACCGGGGCTCTATAAGGGTTCTGCAATGGCTTTCTAGATCCTCTACTTGGAGGTTCATGGGTAGTTATAAGTAGGGTTATATGTAGGGTAACTTTTAGGGTAACTATACTTATAACCTATGTTAGGGGACGTATAACTCCCTAGACCCTAAACCCTAAACCCTAAACCCTAAAACCTAAAACCCTAAACCGAACTACCCATGAACCTCCAAGAAGGGTTTAGGGTCTAGGATTCCAAGGCCAGGACTTAGGGTCTAGGATCTAGGGCTTGGGGTTTAGGGTTTAGGGTTTAGGGGAATCTGCACTTCAAGGATGAAGGGGAGGGGGCTTAGGGTTCTATAGACGCTTTTGTAGGGTCTGGTAAGGCTTAGGGCTTAGGGTTTAGGGTTTAGGGTTTAGGGTTTAGGGTTTAGGGTTTAGGGTTTAGGGTTTAGGGTTTAGGGTTTAGGGTTTAGGGCTGGTAGGGCTTTCTTGAACAGATCAAGGGACTGAGTAGACGTGTACTTAAAGGATCAGGGGACTCCGTAAGAAAGGCTTCAATGAAGTTGTTTGGCGTTCTGGAGGGTTTGCATGGGTTGTCTGCTGGGATTCAACGGATCAGCGGACTTAGCAAATGGGGGTACAAGTAGGGCGGCTTCGAATATCATTGCTTTTCATCACCCAGATATCTAGGTCTGCCCCTCTCTCTTAAGCCTAAACAAAAAACCCAAGCTCTACAGTCGTAAACGCTCAGACCCGGGAAACCTATATAACCCTATTAGGGTTTAGGGTTTTGGGTTTTTAGAATTGAGTTCTTCGGGTATCTCTGCTTTCCAGTGCCTTGAAGCAACGGCTGGGATTTCGGTTCCGGGGTTGAAATCTTGAGGAGTTGTGGCTTGGTGCGGGTGGGCTTTGGGCGGTTGTATGTGTTAGCGCTGAGGCTTTCATGCTAATAGTTACACTCTATGAGGTGCTACAAACAGAACCCTGAACCCTAAACCCTAAACCCCTAAACCCTAAACCCTAAACCTTCAGTCTCCGACTGTATGCCCTAAGCCCTAGACCCTACACAGCAGGCACTGCCTTTTATTTTCGCGGCCATGGCTTAAAATCTCCGTCTTGATGCATTGCGTGCTGCCACAGCTTCCCCGGTGTGCCTGCTCAAAACAATGCGCATCCCAAACTCCGTCTGGGAACCCCACACGGGTGCTCATGGAATCTCCAGAGCTTCCCCTGCGAAAAATTTCGCACTCTCCTAGGTCCTACTGAAAGGTCTCTCAGGCAGGCAGCAAGGCAGGGACACTTTAGATCCTGCACGACAAAATGGGGGCCTTCATTGTCAAGTTGAAGAATTTCATTTATAAATGGCTATCATGCCATATTTTTGGTAGTTAGCCAGACCTCTATAGGAGGTCGCTAAAGCAAAGAGGAAAGCCTGAACAGGGTTGCGGCTCGGGCTATACTTGTGATCTGATATGCAGCTACCGCTGCAGATTACGTCCTTAGAGCATCTAGCCCGCAGGTGTCTGCCAGCCCGAAAAACGAAGCGACGACATGGAAACCTGTCATCCTAGTAGACTCCACGAAGCCCGTAATGTAACGCTCAGTAATTAGAATAGGGTTTTAACAAGGAACCCTCCTGGACGGTAGTGGGAATTATCTAGAATTCGATCTTGAGTATGTATGATAGGTTTAGGGTTTGAGGAGGCTTTCTAACTTAAGGGATGTACCGAACGTTCCTCAGCTTTTGCTGAGGCTAAGGACTAAGGAGGATGTACGGGACGGTGAAGTCTCTGGATCCTCACGATGCTGCGTACCTGGAGCGTTTTAGGGTTTAAGGTTTAGGGTTTAGGGTTTAGGGTTTAGGGTTTAGGGTTTAGGGTTTAGGGTTTAGGGTTTAGGGTTTAGGGTTTAGTTTAAGGTAAGCTGGATACAGACCTGCAGTTTCGGGTTTAAGGGTTTTGGGTTTACGGTTTAGGGTAGGGGTTCTGGTGACAGGGTGTGGGCTTTGGAATGCACCTATGAAACAAGACTTCCAAAATTTTCTGGGTGCAGGAAAGATGTTCTTATCATAGCTCTTCTTCTGAGTTCTTGCTTGGGAACTTATCATCCAAGCTACCATAACAAAAAAGTGCAGTAAATATCTGATCTCCTCAGGGTAACTTGAACCAAGCCCCCGTAACATGAACCCAATCTTTGATGATGACGAGCTCATGCCTGACAACAAGCCTGCCTGGGACTAGGGTTTACTTAGGGGCTGCGTACCCTAGCCCAGAAAAGGTTAACCTTTTTAAAAATGGTGGGATTATACAAACCCCAAAAGGCTAACCTTTTCAAAAAAGGTAGGAGTATACAAACCCCAAAAAGCTAACCTTTTCAAAAATGGTAGGAGTATACAACCCCAAAAAGCTAACCTTTTCAAAACGGTAGGAGTATACAAACCCCAAAAGGCTAACCTTTTCAAACATGGTAGGAGTATACAAACCCCAAAAGGTTAACATTTTCAAAAATAGTAGGAGTATATGAACCCCAAAAGGTTAACATTTTCAAAAATAGTAGGAGTATATGAACCCCAAAAGGTTAACCTTTTCAACAATGGTAGGAGTATACAAACCCCAAAAGTTTAACCTTTTCAAACATGGTAGGAGTATACAAAACCCCAAAAGGTTAACCTTTTCAAAAATGGTAGGATTATACAAACCCCAAAAGGCTAAACTTTTCAAAAATGGTAGGAGTATACAAACCCCAAAAGGCTAACCTTTTCAATAATGGTAGGAGTATACAAACGCCAAAAAGTTAACCTTTTCAAAAATGGTAGGAGTATACAAACCCCAAAAGGCTAACCTTTTCAAAAACGGTAGGAATATACAAACCCCAAAAGGCTAACCTTTTCAAAAATGGTAGGAGTATACAAGCCCCAAAAGGTTAACCTTTTCAAACATGGTAGGAGTATACAAACCCCAAAAGGTTAACCTTTTCAAAAATAGTAGGAGTATGTGAACCCCAAAAGGTTAACCTTTTCAACAATGGTAGGAGTATACAAACCCCAAAAGGCTAACCTTTTCAAAAATGGTAGGAGTACACAAACCCCAAAAGGCTACCCTTTTCAAAAATGGTAGGAGTATACAAACCCCAAAAGGCTAACCTTTTCGAAAATGGTAGGAGTATACAAACCCCAAAAGGTTAACCTTTTCAAACATGGTATCAGTATACAAACCCCTAAAGGTTATAGGTAGTATTACTCGGGGTACCCCTCAAAGGGTAGAACCCTACTTTTGGATCTCTAAAAAGGGACCTTATTGAGTTGGTCTATATCCCCAATTGTCCCCCTAATCCTAGCTCCCAGGTTAAAGGGCTGAGTACCCTAAACCCTAAACCCTAAACCGTATACCAACCCACTCTCGGGGTTTAGGGTTTAGGGTTTAGGGGTTTAGGGGCTTAGGGGTTTAGAGCTTGAGGCTTGAACATCCAATGCTGCAAACCCTACACCGCAAGACCCTCCTACCTTCAGCACGTTTACAGAAAGTCTGGTACCTCTTCGAAAAGCACTGCTTCTACGACATCGATGTATTTGCAAACACTTTCAGTCGATGGCTGGCATCAGATGGGAATATCAGAAAACGAGAGACTACCAATACAGACCCTAAGGACCTGAATCTGTAAACCTTAAACACTAAGCCCCAAACCGACGCAAACTCTAAACCCCCAAGCCTGCACCCTCAACAATAAACATGTACCGTGCACTGGGACCCAAAACCAGAACCTCAAGCCAAACCCCTCTCAGTAGACCCTACATATTCTACCCTGAACTCTGTACCCTGAAACATGCACCCTACATCCAATTATCCCGGAGCCCTTGTTCTGGGTTCTCTTTAAGGAACTTGAAATAAGTTATCAGAATGCGGAACTATGGTAAATTGTATGGCTTCTGTAACATGGTGACTTAACTTCGTTAACAAGAACCCATTATCCACTAACCCTCAAGCCTCTAAACCCTTAACCTCTGCATCTCAAACACCCTAGTTTAGGGTTTTGGGCTTAGGGTTTAGGGTTTAGGGTTTAGGGTTTTCAACTTACAACTCCTAACTACCAAACCCCTAAACCCTAAACCCCCAAATTCACTCTAAGCGTCACTAGATCTTTGTAACAGCCCGATAAACTACCCTCCTTTAATTAACCAAAATCAAACCATCTCAAATCTTGAAAACCTTCTGAAAAGGCTAGAAAACGGCAACTGTTGGTAATAACTCACCCTAAACCCTGAACCCTAAACCCTAAACCCCAATCCCTAAACCCTAAACCCTAAACCCTAAACCCTGAACCCTAAACCTTCTAAACCCGAAGTAAGCCATCTCCAGCTGCAGCTTGGTGACAAGGCCCCACCATGAATAAACCCTAAACCCTAAACCCTAAACCCTAAACCCTGAACCCTAAACCTTCTAAACCCGAAGTAAGCCCTCTCCAGCTGCAGCTTGGTGACAAGGCCCCACCATGAATGCGGACCTTTCGGTCGACCTTTTGCTCACTGCGAAGGTCGTCCCAGATGTCCTGAAAACGCTTGGGATCAGGGTTTCGGGTTTAGGGTTTAGGGTTTAGAGTTTAGGGTTTAGAGTTTAGGGTTTAGGGTTTAGGGTTTAGGGGTTTCAGAAGGGTATTGTAAGGTTCGTAGGGGTTTGTATGGTGTAAGGATGTTTTAGGGTGTCATA